TTCCCCAATTACATCCTCAATCACATCTCATCTTAGAAGTCTGTGTCTGAACAGCAATCCTCTGAAAGGCTGACTGGCCATTGTTTAAATATTCCCTGCTCCCTGTTGTATCAAGTCCCCATGATAACTTTTAGATTGAAAGCTCATGGGCTATAGAATTCTTTCACTTTTCCCGTTAGCTGATTCTACCATGCCAGCTATTCAGTTAAGATTCATAAATCCGGAAGAGACTACTATGTTTGGCCTTTCCTCACTATCAGCAGCATCTGCTCTGGTTGTAGGAAGATATTTCTGATAGGGTCTGTGTATGTCATATTGTCTCCCCCACCGTGGGCGTAGAGATCATGTTTCATCAAACATTGCTATAACCTTAGGGAAAATCCTGTTGCTAGTTGCCTCATGTCCTTGAGACTGTCCACAAAATAACAAACATTATTTATAGCTAAAAGTGTACCATCTTTTTCACTGTAAGTGAAAAAAAAACAGACACGGGTATAAATGTCAATTTGTTGGACTTCTGTACTAAGAAATTGTGAGGTGGCTTTAAAAAGAATTTTAAACAGTTGCAAAGATATATTCAGATGTGACCTAAAGCACACACTTTTTTATATAGAGATTAACACTTTAATAACAGGTCAAATATCCATTATTCTGAAAACTAGAGAGATGAAAAGTCAAATATTTGTATTTATATGAAGTAGGGCTACACTAGAACACATGACAAAATGGGAGTGAACAATGGTTTTGTGTTTCTGCCCATCTCTCTCCCTTTCAAGCAACAGGTGTGCTAGAAAATAAACAGACATCTTCCTGACATTAGTAGTTTGAGCTCAGGGATTGTAAGGACACTCATTGTCCAATACTGAATCAAAGCTGTGCATCATACAAATAGGAAAAACGCCAACAGCTGTCATTTCTTCTTGAAGAAGCTGAGTAACCCTGCCTTTTCCACAATTTTGTCCGAATTAAAGCCTTGCTGACCTTTTTTGAGCCCTCTCCGTAAAATACCATTTCACACACCTGAGCTCAGACTTCTATCTTAGCCGCTAATACAATTGTTGAGAAAGCTGTCTCAGTATCTTCATTTCAGCTTGCTATCATAGATGATTGGGATGACCCCTGAACACGTAGCGCACATAAAGACTTTAGTGATATCTGTATTATCATCTCTTGGCCAAGCCTTAAGGATAAATTCCCATGAGCTCCAGAACAGAATTCTTAGTTGTCAACTGGGTTTGCAATCACTGAGCTTCTTGTAACAAAGTTAACCTTTGAGACTTGTGTTGAGGTGATTGTAGATCTGTTTTTATGCTGAGGGCATTGAATGGACTCTTACTTTATATTTAGGCTCATTTGCAATTATGTTAAAGTCTCTCAAGTATCTCCTTTATTAGTTGGCTCACCAGAAGTCTGGTACCTTATATGAGTTTCACGTGATTGATTCTTGCATAGATGTTAAAGTGGAACAGATGCAATGTACAGGATTGGATATCCTCTTGTTGTTAAGGAATGAGGTGAGCTTGAGCTAATTACTCAACTAAATTACTCAACTAAAACCTTGCACTTCATTTTGTTGCATTGAAGTCCCATTCAATAACAGTAGGATTTAGAGGGATAAATATCAATGGGGCTGAAGTGTCATCATACCCTCGGAAACACAATCAGAGTGACACTTGACTAGGTGAATCCATTTTTTTATATTGAATCTAGAGATCAACCGATTAATGTTCCTCTAACCCCTATGAGGTCCGATCAACCTTGCTAACATCAGCTATATAATCTTGTTGATTGGCATTTGTGAACAAACCAATGCAATTAAAGTGTACTGTGGGTACTTAAGAAGTTGAAACAAGTCCCTGGGCATAATAATAACAGGCTAATTAAACTAAACAGTATCACGCTAACTAATCAGAACCCCTTGCACAATACAGGAAAACTGAAAAAATATGTACCAAGGGAAATGGGAGAGATTCGAATTGTAAACTCTCGCCCATGCGGATATTTATTTAAAAAAAAAAAGAAATACATTCGTAAAGTAATTGATATGCACAATGATATCTATACAAAGCAGACATTAATATAAAAAATAGTACATATTATTCACAGTATTGATGCTGAAACGTGAAACGATTAATTATTTTTTGTTCTTTTTTAGTTATATTACTTTTAGTTAAGTTGTGTATGGGAGCCTCTCAACATCTACTGCTATGATTCCTCTCTTGTGTATTTGTTTTACTTTGATATTCATCACACTTGCCAGGGATGAGTCCATCTGGATATGACACTGCACTTTTCTATATATATTGAATTTCTTTGTGCTTAGTTTGCCTCTCTGTCTCGCTGTTCATTAATATGCATAGTTATGCAGATTTTAAATTACCATTTTCTGAAAATACATTGAAACTGAGATTACAGAAATAGAACAAAAGTATAAACAGCATGCACATAAGATAATTACTCATACATGCAAAACATGTTATTAAAATAATATAATACATAAAAATCTTAAATTGTCTTAAAACAAAATGTTCTGTGTTGATGTAAATTAAAAGCGTCCTTTAGTTAATGCCTCTATCTCAAATCTATGAACGAATGTTGGAAAATGATTGTTTAAATATCTAGATTCTACTAAATATCTTTTATTCTGCCTTGATACTTTCAGAATTTGGGTTGGGTAAACCCCAAGTTATCCTGGCAGATATTTGATGTAACTGGTCCTTAAATCTGGTCCTAACTGGTTCTATAATCTATTAAAGAGCCTCATTTTTGGACATATTCCTGTTATAACATTTAATCCCCTGGAAGGTAACAGCCAAAATGTTGGGGTGTCTTCAGCCCTATGTCAGAATAATTGAATTTGCGCTTTTTGTGATTTATGTTTGATATTTACAGTTTACTCACCTCTGGTGATTATATCTGATCTGTCATGCACTATGGTATTATGTACTTTATTTACTATATGTAATAACTGTCTACATTTTTGCTATTAAAAAATCTATTATTTTTGCAGTATTTGGTGTGTTTTTGGTGTTTTGAATAACAGTTAATGCTGGAAGCTATAATGCGCAACATAAGTCAAAGGAGGCTTAATTCAGAACATAAAAGAATATTCAAACATCTGGAATGAACCAGCCTGGCTGAATATTAAACTGGAAATAGAGAAATAATAGAAATAACTGTGTAATAAGAGACTAATGCTAGAAAAAGTGTATAGGTAATATAGTAAAGTCAAAGTGCAATACTGCCTCAAATGGCTCACCTCTAGGAATACCTAGAATATCTCCGTGCTACTACTATGGTCAAAAATTGCGACAGGCTACTGACTTTAATAAACAGTAAAACTGGTCAAGCCCTGTATTCATGAACAACTAAGTAGCTGATTAACGTAGGCTGAAATTGATGCCTATAGAATGGTCACTGGATCGAGTCTGACTGTGTATACAGAATGCTGTGTGGTCAGTGTATAGAAGTGGTTAGTAACCTGTATCTATGGAGGCTACGCCACAATGAATATCCACAGAACCCACGCTGGTATTAGGGGACAGCATATGAATCTACCCTCATATATGTATATATGTATCAAGGTCTAGCATCGAGGAGGATTGATAGATCTCTCTATGAACTAGTGCTAGATCTCAGTAATTATTAACCTATAATGGTACCATACATAATTGACAGAGGGAAATTGAGTATGCACATGGAGTCCCCCTGGTATAACAGAAGGAAAATACCCTTTAAAGGTTAACTAATGTGACCATGGAAAATAAAAGGAGAAAAAGGTGAAAAAATAAGAATTAAAGTGACTCTATGTGCAGAACCATACTTAGGATGTTGGTTACCTGCACATAGTGATAGATAGCCCTAGGTGAGAGAAAGTGTGAAGGGAAAAATGAGCCCAAAGAGCCCGACGCGCGTTTCGGTGCTTTCTAAGATGCACCTTCGTCAGGGGCTGACTGGAGACTGATTCCCAGTCTCCTTTTAAATGTATTGAGGTACCGGTATCCAGAGAAGTGTCCAATCATAAAGCTGATATCAAATGCAATCCGGCGCCAACAACCCACGTGGTGATTATGTAAATGAGTTGTGCCGTATCAGCCAATCACGCTCATGTTGTAATGACGTGTGTTCACGAGCTGTTTAAACAGCTGAGTGCTGAAGCAAGACAGGTCGGATTCTGTATATATTATCCGATGTGTTGTAGCTGAGAATCGCTACAGTTGCTAAACACTGTGTTTCTATTTACAACAGAATTCGGCTTCACAATCGTCACTAGGTAAAAAGTTTAGATTGTAGTTGGCTATTATGTGATAAAGTATTGCAGGATCAAGAAGAAATGGATGAATGAAGTTTGACTTCGGTCATAAGATACATAGTCTGTAACGGTATAATACCGTGATGAAGTATGGACAGACTTCATCCACTTACGTATAATAGGTGACCCTATAATACTTTATGAGTTCGTTGTTAGATAGTAAGTCTCACTAATTTTCAATAATAGACTGCTAGGAATTAGCGCCGAACAGATCAGTCAGGTGCTATATTATAAGTCATAGTGGCTTAGTTGTGGTATTGAGAGAGATTGGTGGATGCTGGTAGCAATAGTTTAGTTATTATAGGACTGGGGATGACACCCCAAACGGATACTGTACTTTAAGTAGAGAAAGGAAAATAGAAAAATAAGAAAATTAGAATAGATATAATCATCAAATATTTGAATACATATTAGTAACATTTTAAGATACTATTACACTTGTAATAATGCGTAAAGAAAGATTGCTTGAAATGGCTAGAGATCAGGCTTAGCTGACTAGGAGACAAAGAATGTCATTGTTTTAATAGGTAGATGAAACCAGAGTTTAAAAGGTCCTAGAAATATTAAGAACCAAAG